GTGGGGCGCTACAGAGATAGGGTGACCGGGATAATCGAGAAAGTGGAGGATGTACACTGGATCTGTGGGAGGGGGAAAAGGAGGAGCTCGTTGATAATGTAGAATGGCTAACAGATAGTGAACTTTACCCCTTTGTAGCAAAAAATAGGGAAAACAAAATGGCACATCTTAGTTCCAAAAAGGGGGGAAACATTTTGGCGTATCTTAGGCGCGAAGATGAAGCCGCGAAGATTAAGGCTAAGCAAAAGCGGTGTGATGTGGCGGTTAATAAAAATCTGGACAAGGCCGAATGCTGCCCCTTACCCCTCTTGGTCATACGTAAATGCGCCAGTCAAGTAGCAGCCGATGGTGGAGACGAGGAGACTAATGAAGAACGACGGAAACTCGGCAGCGACATTTAAGGAAGATTCGGAATGGCTGTGACGCTCTAATTTCAACTACAGGCGGATGTCAAACCATGGCGCAGTGTCAAGAGCGAATGCCTCATGGGCCTCGCGAATGATACTTTGTGAACATGTGTTTGTCACTTCGTCTCTTCATTGCTAAGCTACGGCATTATCATGGCAACTGAAGAATGGCTGTGACGTGACAATGGTGTGGTGCTGTGCTGTGTGGTGAGTGAGTGGACGGAGTGAATGCCCCAGAGGTATCTCGCGTTGCTACATGCCCTATGCTGTGCCATCTATCGAAGTCACACCTGGCCATCACTAGATGACCGTACTCTAACTTAGACACTTTATAGTACTGGTATCCTCAGTGTAGTCTATCATTATCGCCTTTGCTTAGCCTTAATCTTCGCGCTTTAATCTTCGCGTCATAATGGTGCCCCCTTTTTGCGCCTAAGATGTGCCATTATGTTTCCACCTTGTTTTTGGTACAAAAGAGTGAAGTTCACTATCGTTTATCCATTCTACATTATCAACCTTCACTGACGAGATCCTGATGATCGAAACAGCTGCTGTCTGAAGGAGCAGAGTACCAACTGAAGTGTCGTTTTGCTGATGGTGTGCTGTGGCAACGTGTTGAGGTCGGCCGGAGAGCGCAGCGGTGTGGTGTGGTGGTTGATAAGAATCTCGGCAAAGCCGAATGCTGCTACTTACCCCTCTTGATCATACCAAATTATGCCCATTATTATGCCGGGATAATCCGCCGGAGCCTACTACACGACGTAGGCTAGTCAAAGTGGTAAACGAAGAATCAATCAACATCAATTGAACATGGGTTTGACCGTTTTAAAAAGGCGCTAGTGTGATGGCTTTTATATGTCCCTGTATATTCCAAAAATGGATGCATGCATCTGCGCAATCCACACTAGTCCAAATGAAAACTATAATTTGTTTAGAACCGAACGTTTTCGTTCATTCTCTCCATGCTAGAGGTCTTAAAGGGAATATAGCGAAAATGGGGATACATGTACGTTCAATTAGTTAGTATTAGAGTTTCATCTTCATGCTGTTTTTGACCCGAAAATGTTTTTCTAGGGTGATGTTTATGTCCCTCAATGCTTTGCCCATGTTATAATTTGCTGTCTTAGTCATATTTGAAAAGGCAGCGACGGCAGTCAGTTGACAACAGTGTTTCTTCAGCTGGTTCTGTGTATTGCAATCCTTACACTTTCTTAATAAGTACTTAAATATTTAAAGTATAATTCTTTTTAATAATATTATTATTTTAATGACTAAGATAGTTTAACTATCTTAGTCATTTTTGCTGTATTCCCTATAAGAGCCTATGAAGAGAAGGGAACGAAAATGTCCGGTTTTTAAATTCCCTATTGTTGATTTGGACTGGTGTGGATTACGCAGATGCATGTGCTTCATTGAAGAATTTCCTTCAATCAATTAGTATTTTAGTTCAGTCTTTATTCCAGATTTCTTATTGGTTATTCTGCTGTGCGATGCTTTTTTGGTAGGAGACTAGCAAATCAAGCATCTGCTCGTGCATCACGAGAACGAGAGAAAGACTATATCAAGAATTTGGAGTCGGAAGTGGAGAAATTGATTCAGGAGGTGAGTCCTACTGGACCTATTATCCATGTTTTATAATTATCATTATACACAAGAGAGGTTGGAAGCTATCACTATCGCCTAGTATGTCGTTGAGACTGCCAAGTAATGTAGAGATATGGGTGATTGCCAACAATGGCCTATAGGATGATTCAAGCAAGAGAAGCGACAAAGAGAGCTAGTAACAGATATCTCATTCTCGAGTTCTCGTGTCAGCAGAGCATGCCTACTTCTATTCGACCATCTGTCATTGTAAACAAGGCGACCACTACTCTTCCTTGTGCGTTTATTGTTGTATGCAGAATGTCGAATTGAAGGGGAGAGTCAATTTTTTGAAGACCCTACAGAAGAATGAGGAGTTGGTGACCGCTGAAGATTCTGAGAGCGACTATGGCGTTATGAATTTTGATATGCCAAACATGGACATCAATTTTCTGGCGGAGTTTGATGTCGAGGTGAGTTTTCATAGTTTTCTTCGTCATGTTTTACTACGA